AGCATCAATAGATCCTTACGAATTTGCCGCTATTTGTTACGATTCGCCCCATGCATTATAACCAAGGAATTAAACTCTGCTTACTTAGGGCCGCTTTTTCAATGTTTGGTCTACTTGCCGGTTAAACATCATTATCGACGTTTTCGACATCATGCATATAACATGTGATCGATAAAGCAGTCGTTGCATTTAACCAGAGCTTCCACCTCCGATTAGTGCTAATTAGACATTGAACAACCGGCCCTTAATCTAAAAGCTTTAACAGACGGCAGCGTTGATCCGGACTAACTCGGATTTAATCCGGATCAACTGCAGTTAATTCCCGAGTTAATCCGGATCAACGTTACCGTCTGTTAAAGCTTTTAGATTACGGGCCGGTTGTTCAATGTCTGATTAGCACTAATCGGGGGTGGAAGCTCTGGCACTGAAAAAACTGGCCCTTAGTGGATTCTTTTGCAACCAAGCTAAAAAAACGGCATCGACGACCAAACTCAAAAATTTTTGATTTCACACGGACGGCATGTGAGACCTTGTTTCCTTGAATACCTTAAAAAATGTACATATTACGCAAGTATTTCGCAAAATTACTTATTTCAATTAGTATGAGCAAAGAACGTAGATAACAAGAAGGGACAACTCGTTATAATTGTAGCGAAAGTGAGTAACAAGGGTGTGCCTTCTCTTCTCGTCCAATTAAAAAACGTACTAGAGCAAAAGACAACCGGCCCTTAATCTAAAAACTTTAACAGACGGCAGCGTTGATCCGGACTTACTCGGACTTACTCCCGATTAACTGCAGTTAATTCCCGGGTTAATCCGGATCAACGCTGCCGTCTGTTTATGCTTTAAGTTTAAACTGGCACTGAAAAACTGGCCCTTAGTGGATTCTTTTGTAACCAAGCTAAAAAAACCAGCATCGACGACCAAACAAAAAAGCAACATAATAACACCACAGACCATACCACAGCCACGACAGACTACATAACACACACAACCGCACCACCACCCACACGTCGCCGCCAACAACTCCTGGTTCCCCCTACAATCTGCACGGTATGTCAGACCAGGATATTCCGTAATGTGACATCAGTCAAGTGCAACACCTGCCTTGGCTGGTGCCACTTTAGGGCATGCTCAGGTCTGCGTACCACGCGAGATTGGACTGGGAACTTCGAGGGTTCGAGGGTGTTGCGCTGCTCGGTCGCAGACCTCAATTGCGACGCCTCCCGCCACCACCACAGGGCGGCAACCATCACAGCAGCGCACACAGCCAACGGCGGTAAGAACACACACATCACTTACACCCCACATCACGACACGTCTCCCGAACCACATAAAGCTCCTTCAATTTAACTGCAACGGGCTACAGAGCAAGATTGAGGAGATAACCGTCTTCATGTGTCGGCATGGTATATTGATAGCTGCGGTCCAAGAGACGAAGTTGCACAGCAATTCAACTTTGTTGAATT